TTAAAATGCTTATTTCTTAGGGAAAAAGTTTAAAGTTGTGAATTTAAAAGTTTTAAGTTGTGAATTTTTTATCAGTAATTCGCCTTTACTACAATCTTTCACACAGATCATCTTATAGTTTATCCAGCAAGAAGATGAACAGGCTCAGATTTTAAACATCTAAAATGGGTTGTAATTCAGGGTGCATTTTTCTCTGAATGCCTTTCCTTTGAACCCTTTGGACCCTTTTATTTAAAAGTAAATTAGATTTTTTTAGTGGAAGTGGCTCCCTCTGCCCAGAAGCAGAGACTGTTCCTGTCTTGGCCAACTACCACATATGACTTGTCCCTTGATCTTTACCTGGTATATGTTAAGTACACCTGTAAAGAGGTCTGCATGGTATTTGTGAATCCAAGTGTAGTTGCCTTAGATGAGGCCCTAAACTTAAACTGAAAGTGCTTTGAGGCTGGTCACTGCCGGACACCCTTCTCACAACGCATGTTTGCTGCACTGGGACAGGCCAGGAAGAAAGCAGAGCTTTCTTTGTGCAGTCGCTGCTTGTTTAACCTTTGACGTCAGGGGCTAGGACACGGGGGATGGGGGAGGCCGTGACTACACTCTCAGGGGTGGAACAAAAGATTATCTTGGCACCAAGTTGTGACACCAAGTCTGTTTTGCTAAAGAATCTGTGAATGTTGAGCCGCCTATACAGAGCAGTGTTTAATCTTATGTTGAGAGACCACATATTATCTCTTGCTATGATCAAGTTTTTGTTGTTTTTTTTCCATCAGGTATGAAAATTGCCAAGTGCCTTGTTTCAGTCTGTTGGCATAATCTGGATGGGTCTCTAGTTTCACAGATACAGTTTCACACAGGCAGATGAAGGGACTGGGGAGGGGGGTGTGCCTGTGTCTGCAATAGTGTTTATCCCAAATAGCTTTAGGTAAACCAAGTTTTATAAGATTACCTCATTTTAATCTTAGTTGTGCCTTTATTTTTTAAAGGAGTCCCTTTGCAATGTGGACAGTTTTTGTAGCAATAATACATATCCTCTTCCAAAATAATTAAAAAAAATCTTGACACAACACACTTTCTTAAATGGAGCCGTCTACTTGGGATCCCTGAAAACAAGTTCAGCACTTACTTCTGGCCTGAAGAGTTAGATCCTCCCTGGAGAACTGGCCTCTGGAGCCAATGGGCTGAGTTGGGATTCTTGGCTCTGCAACCTGATGCTATTTACCTCTCTCTGCCTCAGTTTCCTCTGTGGTAAATAGGATACTAGTGATAGTTTCTTCATAGGGTTGTCAGGGGGGATTAAGTAAATAGTATGTGAAAATGCTGAAATCACTGCTGGGACTGCATATGGAAGGTGCTTAATGAATGTCTGTGTCACTATATGAATGCTTCAGAATAGTCCTTTGTTCCCTTGAAAGGGAGTAGGTGGTGGTGGGAAAGACAGCCTGGTCAGGGAAGTTTTATTACTTGGTTCACATGAAGCCATGAAGGAAGTAATTTAATCTGGAAGAGCATGATAAAAAACAAATTAGGGGACTACACTGCCAGCTGCTTAGCTCCAGGGGGCCATAACAGAACTTCCCAGGCTTAGTGGCTTTATAAAGTACAGACTTGGGTTTTTCTTGTGTGTCCGGCAGACCACTGTGGTCAGGCAACCCTCCTGAGCCATTCCCCTCAAAGTGGGGATTCAGGGATCCAAGCACATGCCATCCTTGGCTTTGCCATACTGGACTTCTTCACTTCAGCTATGAGGATGAGGGGGAGAGAAAGAGGGAGGCAGGGAAGAAGAGGGGAGAGAGGAGGGAACAGGATGGTGGGAGAGGGAGGGGGAGAGAGAGAGAGAGAGAGAGAAAATGAATGAGTGAATTAGAGAGAGAGAAAATGAATGAGTGAATTAGACTGAATATGAGCTGAGGATCTTACAAAGGATGGTGAGGGCCAAGCATGGAAGTGGCAGCACACCATTTCTGTTCCCATTCCATTGGCCAGAACTAGTCGCATGGTTCCACTCTACCTGCTTGGGGTTCTGGGAAGTCGGTTCTTCCTGGTGCCCTGTAATACCAAGCAGATTGTCTGTAGCACAACAGTTAACCATGTAACAAATTTTATGCTAGTGGTGGATATTGTCTATTATTAATCTATTTGTATACTTCACTGTAAATTATTTCCAAAATGCTGTATAATGCCAGCACCAGCAAAGGACCCAAGGGAATTTGCAACCATTATGTTTCCTTCTTATTTTACAAATTTGCGGGAAGTCAGGACATCTACTGAGAAAGCTACTTCTGAACATTTTATTGCTGTGCAGTTGGCCAATAAACAAGGACTTTCAGTGACTGTATCTTAATGGCCATCTCTGATAGGCAAGTTCCTATTATTGAGGCAGTTGTTATGCATTGTATCCTGCTGGTGGTCAGTAAATGACAAAAGGCTAAGAAGTTAATGATCCTGTTGTAATTGAAATTACACGGGACAGTATAAAAGTAGAGATTTTTTTAAACTGCTCTTTAATAAATATGGCTCATTATTGCAACTGCTATTTTTACTCAGCTCCAATGGGAGGGATGATGGCAGTTTTCTGTGTCTTATATCATCAAATAAAGTGACTTAGTCTTGCAGGCTTATTAGTACTGTTTCACTTGAGCAGTTCTTTTGAATCATAATTGGCCTCTGTACAGATCGAACAGTTTATTCATAAGAGCAAACCTGGGAGAGTTTATAGCTATATCGACATACCTTGGGGCCATGCTTAACTGAGCTTCTGGGTTAATTATATACATCATGTCTTGCCGTGTTTCATAGTTCTATTGGCTGATTTCCAACCCCATTTCTTCTGCCAAGGTTCAGTTGTTTAACACAATTGGGAAGCGATAACATAATGGTTGATCATGTGGTCTCCAGCATGAGACTTGAGTTTGGATCCCAGTGCTGCCACCCAGTCACTATGTGCCCATGGGTACTTTCATTATCTGCTGTGGTTGCCTACGTGTTTCTGGTAACAAATAGAAGGCTGGGTGGCTTAAACCACAGAAACCTATTTTCTTACCACTGAAGTCTGAGGTCAAAGTGTTGGCTGGGTGAGTTTCTTCTGAGGTCTCTCTCCTTGTAGATGGCTGTCATCCTGTGTCATTACATGGTCTTTCCTGTGTGCATGCCTCTGTTCAAATTTTTTCCTCTTATGAGGACACTAGTCATATTGGATTAGGGCCCTTCCTAATGACCTCTTCAAATCCAGCCACATTCTGAGGTACTGGCATTAGGACTTCAACATAGGAATTTTGGGAAGATACAACACAGCCCATCACAGGCACTTAGTTCTTCCCGATCTGCAAAATGGGTTTATAGAAGTATTTTTTATGGTTGTTATGTGCATTCAAAGATGTCATGCATACGAATTGCTTAGCATAATACCTGGTGTATAGTGAGCACTCACTAAATACAAGTACTTTTATTATAATCATGAATCTTATTATGTGTAGTTGTGTCATCTGTCCCAACTGGGAGATGGTTGTATGCGCAGCCTTTCAATTATTGAGGCCTGGGATTACTGTATTCTTTCTTGTACCCTCTTAGCATTGGAACAGGCTGCCTTCAACAGAGTAACAGGGCGGAGGCCCAGATGTTGTGATTGGGTATGGCTTTTGTGCTAGGGATTTCTGAGTGGTTTTCTTCTGCTGTGACTTTGGTGGTGTTAGGTGCCACAGATGGCTTGAAATATGCTCAGACATCTTGATTCCTGTGATGGCCCGCCCAATGGCTTTATCAGACTTAGAGAAGCACCTGGAGAAGAGCAATCTGTCAAGGGCAAGAGACTTTTAACATTGTCAGGGGAATAGTTATAAAATTATAGCAGTAGGTCACTGACTGAAAGAGTTATCCAAGCACCGGAGGTGATTTTTAAAGAATGAGGCATGTGAAAGAGGTTAGCAGTCCTGTGATTGTACCTGTCCCAAACAGTTCTAGACTGATGAGAATTGGTAGAATTCTGCAGTGTTGCTGTTATGGTAAGTTATCATCTCAGGCCCAAATAAGGGCTTATTATCTAAATTCCTGGCATTTTTTCGACTGACATCAATGTTTCTTCTTCTAAACAAGTGCTGCTACTGTCACAACATAGTCATAGTTTGTGTTAACCACCAGCAAGCGTGGTTCTCCTCTAAGGTCAGAGAAGGAAGGTCAGACTGCATGGGCCCTGATGGAATACACTGTTCAGGAGGACAATGTGCCCATTGATCAGAGAAGCTTTGGATGTGGTGGGGGATTCTCACGGTCCACTGATGGCAGTCGAGCCCTGCAGACACATTATGTGTAGTTCCAGCTAGATCCATTCACTACATCAGCTCCTAAACTTGAGTCAGCGGCACCACTAGCCAGCTACCCAGCCTTATCAACTTTTCTTTTGAAATGACCATGAAATATTTGTCTTTTAATAAAAGTTATTAAAGAGTATGAGGATTGTCACACATAAACACGTATGTAAATATGAATTTATATGAAGTGATTTTAACTGACCATAAAATAATAGCTATATGTGCTCTTGTGATCATGAAGTCTGAAACACATCCTTACGAGGGATTGGTGAAAGATGGAATTAATTGTTTTAGTGTTACCAAACCTTTTCCCTATAAGTCTATTTACCTTTCTATTACAGAAAACCCGTCAGTGACCAAAAAAATAATCCTTTCCTGTCAATGTCTTTGTGTGCATCTCCACTGCCCCACCGACCTCTGTCTTTTAATTCTAAATCATCACATGGTACAAGCTAAATCTTTACAGTTTTTGTTAGTCATACCTTAGTAGAGCTGGAAGAGCAGTAAGGTTGCTGTTCCATTATAAAAAATATGGAGAATGGTGTCGCAGCATCACTCACTAACTTCCCCCCATGCCAGGTCATTCGGTTATTGCTGGGCTTTTTTCCTTCCCTGGTTCTTATGTGTCTCTTTCATAAGAGTATTCTGAAAATTTGCCTTTTTGCTTTTCATGTGGTTTAATTTCATTTTTTGAAGGAAAGAACAAGTTAGTACCTTGTATCAAAATATCAACCTTGTGGAGCCAAGATTGATTCAGCCGTATGAACATGTTATAAAGAACTTCATCCGTGAGATCAAGCTTCAAAGCACAGAAATGGAAAACCTGGCCATTGCAGTGAAGAGGTATTGAAGTCCTTCCTTTTTAAGTGGCACATGGGGTTCTTGAACTTGCTCTTTGACCTGGGGGTCACAATGACTGAGCTGCATTATCGCAACATGACATGGGAGGACTTCCTGATCCCCGGGAACCTGGAGCTTTCTGAACCGAGCGAGCCTGAGGGAAGCTGAGTCAGGCAGTACTTCATAGGGTCAGTCAGCAATGCACCAGCAGGTCACCATGATCCTGTCATAGAAAGTCTTCCAGGCCACGATTCCATACAGAGCACTTCATAGAAGATTTGTTATCTTCAATGTAGCCACTTGAAAAACATACGGGAAACTTTTCATCCAGAGAGGCAGGCTGGGCTCCATTTGAAGCCTGGCCTTGTGACTGATGGGCATGTGACTTTGGACAGGTTGTTTAGTCTCCCTGAGTCTCAGCTTCTGCATCTGCAAAATGAGGCTGTAAATATTCACCTTTTCAGGGGTGGAGACAAAGATGCCATCATGAGTGATGCCCCTTGCACTAGGCCTCCCACATGGCGATGCTCAGTGATGCTTCTTTTCCTGTCTCTAGCCCTCCTCTCCCAGTCTGAACCTAAAGCCTAACCGCTGCTAAGCTCTTACAGTTTGTGTAAGGGAGAGCAAGCTTACACAGGACAGTTTACTGGTTTTAACAGCAACCCAGTGCAAAAAAAGAATTACATGTGTTGCAATCCAAATATCAGCCTCTTTGCCTCCTGGGAGGACCGCGCTCCTTTGGCATATGCTGGGAAAGAGGGCATTTTGTGTGTCACAGTTTGCCCCACAGAGGCTCCTCGCTGCTGTGTGTTCGTCCAGCAGCCCTGGGTGTGCCTCCCGGCGCTGGTCTCTGCCCAGAACGTGCAGACAGCCCCTTTGAGAGGGTGCCCCCATGGCTGTGGGGCAGGCAAGGGCTGCTGCTCTGCATTCTTTCCTTTAACATGGTGATGGAACTGGGTGGTAGACCCTTTGAAGTAACTGAAGTGAATAAAAATGTACAAGGAAAAATGTTTTAAAATGTTGATGTTAAGTAGGACTATTTTTATAGTCCTGGAGTTATGCAAGAGTGGAACTGTTCACAGAGGGTTTCTTTTGATCATGTTCACTTCCTGACACTGATCTTCTCCCTCACGTTTGCCTGCCAGGGGCTTTCAGCGGGGTGGTCTGCAGAGCTCTGCATTCTGGAGAGCACTGTGGGGTGCTGATCGGAATCCTCGATTGGCCCCCTTTGGGAGGTGACTAGCAGACACACATAGCGAGTTTTAGGCTGCCCAGTGAATACCTGTTAAAATAGACTCTCATGTACACACACAAGTACACATACACAGACCCACATGAAAGTATGCAGGACACACACAGACACACACATTCGCACATGCGCACATGACCTCTAAGGGTAGTACCATGTACACCCATTAGGGGAAAAAAGAATGGCATTCTTCATGTTCCCATTACCAGCTAGACTGTGGTCTGGCTGTGGAGGTTGTCACATTATGTTGAGCTATGTTGGGGCTTCTGTCCTGTCCCCTCGGTGCTCTCTGGGTGGGATCCAAAGTCAGCCTCTGCAGTTGCACTTGAAGAATGGGTTCCCACTGTCCCAGTAGAGGCCCTGGACCAGGGTAAAGCAGACATTCCCAATACCCTAGACATTTTACTAGGAATTAGGAATTGTTGGGGCAAACACTATTATAGACTACATAATCAAAAAATTTAAAAATTGCTCATAAGCAAGGAAAGCAGAAGGAACACATTCAAAAGCAGTTCCAGGTGCTCAGCTGTTTGGGACTGGATGCCCAACAGGAATGGCTGGAAAAACTGGTTATAGCAAAGGAAGAAATGGGTAAGTGGCATAGCTCTTTAGAGTTTCAGCGTTCACTAAAAACAAGCAAATCCCCAAACCAAGGTTGCTATGGAGAATATATAATTCCTGAGGTTCAAAGAGCAAGTGTGTATAAACAAACCAGAACTAGCTGACTTCCCACACGAGGTTTTCATGACCTTGGGCAGGCTGTAAGGTGAGGAGGGAGTGAACAGGAGCAGAAAACAGTACTTAGTCACTCAAAATTTTACTTTGGGGCTTCCTCCCCCCATCCATTCATGCTTGTTTGGAACTTTATGTAGAAATTAAACTAATGCACCAACAAATTGTGTTCCAAGGTGAAGGCAGGTAGGATGGGGTAGCAGAAGCCATCAATTTGGGAGGTGGGAGTCTTCTACTCAGGTCTTGTTCCCTATTTTTTTATTAATGGTGTCTCATTGATCCAAGTGAACTGACTCCCTAAATCTCAGGCTGGCTGCTTTCAAATCACTTATAATCTAGTTGAGTAGGCGAGACATACTTGTGAAAATGTAGATAATTAGGCATATTGCTAAGAGAGAACAAAAAATAAATTTTATAGGGCTTTACAGGAAGCCTCAACCATAGTAAGGTGACAGATGTCTCCATACTAGTCAACTGATAAATAAAACTGTCCTGGAATGCTGCTCAACAAAATTTTCCCATTTCTAACTTTTTTGCAAGTCAGCACATTGTGCCTTTAAAAATTGTGATTCGTTGATTACACTAATAAACAAATTTTCTAAAGGGTAACTGTATCTATATAATGTTAAGGAACTGATTAGTAATAATTACTGGGATCCTTTCTTTTTTTCCCTTTCTGACTGTAGCATGTAACATTGTGTGTTTCATATAATGAAATTCAAAATTATATCTAACCATCTTTTTGCCTTGGAGTTTATTTTTCCCCCCAGTGGTTATAGCTCAGTCATGACAGCAAAAAGGATTTTCAGAATTTATTGTGAGCCTGCCAGGAATTTGGTATTTTTTATCAGTTCTTTGCCACAGTCTATTTTAATCCCACTTTATCTAACCTATTCCATTTATTTAATATCTAGTTTTCATGTCCTCTTATACCCAAATGGACAAATTGGTAATTTCATTTTATTATGTGGAAGGGACAGTGATTATTATTTTAAATATTGTATTTCTCCTCATTTGTAAAATAAAGGGCTTGAAATAGATTAGGTCAGAGTTTTCATGTTACACCTTCAAGAGTATAATGAAAAGGTGCACACCCTCTCGACTTTCAGAGCCCAGGACAAGGCAGCCATGCAGTTGAGTGAGTTGGAAGAGGAGATGGATCAGAGGATTCAGGCTGCAGAACACAAGACACGGAAAGACGTGAGTGTGTGGGCCTCGTTCACTCAGTGAGTCCTGATGGAGCACCTTTTATGGCCTGGGCACCGGGCGTCCTCTGGGGGCAGCAAGTGCAGGCTCCCGATGATGGTGATGGTTTCGAGTGGTAGGTAGGGTAAAGGGAGGGAGGGAGAATAAGTAAGTAGTGAAAGAAAAAAAGCAGATAATTTCAAATAGGGACAGGGGCAGTTAAGAAACAGCGTGTGATAGACAGCGACCGGGATGGGAGGCTGTTCAGGTTGGGAGGTCCTGGGCCTCTTCAGGGAGGTGACCGAGAGCCGAGGCCTGAAGGAGAAGGCAGAGCCATCCTTCTGGAGAGCAGGGCGGCTCAGGTGGTACAAGCCACTGTCCTACTGCCCATGCGTGCTGGCAACTTTAGCTCAGTTACAGCAAAATTAAAATTCTCTCTGTAAACTTCAGTGTTTTATAATGGAATACAAATTACAAATAGAAGGATACATAGAATATACCTTTATTCATCATTATAGGAACTCTTAGAGTTGAAGTTTGGATGCCACCTTCAGGTATTTTCATAGAAGAAATAATTATCTTTTTTCTTTATAAAATATATTTGGGTGATTAATGTTCACTGGAAACAGAAATTAGATATATTTCTTTGAGTAGCTAGAGTTAGGTTCCATTTTTTTTGAAAAACATTTCATTTTTTTTTTTATTCATTTGTTCTATTAGCTCTGAGAGGCATCTATAGATGTTACTTTGCTCCTGGCTCTGTCCTGTCTGGATTATAGATGGTACTGGAAAAGCAATCTGACCTCTGAAATTTGTTGTTCCATCTTTAGGATGGGTTTCAATTTCAGAAGTGGCTATATATCTACACTCATGTGGTTACCTACCCCTCCATGTGTAGGGGACTTGGGATTAGCCTTTGTTGACACAAAACACCTCTCACCTATGGAGTCCTGACGAACCCATTTAAATCAACAAACCTTTTTTTTTTTTTTTTTTTTTTTTTTAGGAAAAACGCAAAGCTGAGGAAGCCCTCAGTGACCTCAGGCGTCAGTATGAAACAGAAGTAGGAGATCTACAGGTGACAATAAAGAAGCTGAAAAAGGTAGGCATGTGGCAGCTAGACTTTTCGGAATAGCTTCAGGATATCAGTGTATCTGAGTTAGTAGTGACTAACGATGATTGGGATCACACTGACGCAGCGGATGGAGTCAGATCTCAGTGGCAGGACTTTTTTCTTTGAGGGACCCTGTTTCCTTTTCTTTTTCCAAAGGCATCTGTCTTTCATATAGATCTAATAAATACAGTTATCCATCACACCAGTTTTCTTTCCTTAGTCTTCACCAACCAAGTGCCCTCAATACCCACGTGTGTGTCCAGTGGACTATCTGCTCATGACAGCAGGGGGCACTGAGTTCCCTGGTCACCTATCCCTGTATATCTGCCCCCAGCTTACTGCAAGGTACATGGTAGGTATTCAGTGAATATTTGTTAAATGAAATGAGTATTTCCCTTCTATATTCAAAGTTTCAGATCTAGGCATAGGTAGGAGAGGATTTGTTGAAGTGTTAGCAGAGGTGTGAATGGGTTTTGGCTTTTGCTCTGTTTGTTTCCTAATGAGTAGGAACATTTCACTCAGTGGCCTGCTGCTAGACATTTAACAACTGGCTCTGGTTCTGACGGGAGGGAGAGATTTGAAGCACTTACCACTTTCCATGGTATCTATATTCCCACCATTGCCTGTTACAAGCTACCAAGTTGGCATTGCTGAGTGCACTGTTTGGGAAGAGAAGCTCAATACAGGCTTTCAGCTGGGGGCACAAATTGACTCTAGCACAGTACTGGATCCATTTCTTGCATGTGGATTGTCTCCATAACAAATGGAAAATCTTGGCTAATGTGAAAATGAATACTTAAAAAATAATCATCCCTGAAAGTGGCATTGTGAATTTGGGGACATCACTTTACTTCCCTGGTTGGTCTTGTGATAACAGTTGATACTCCTTCCAGTAGCGTTAGATACAATGAGATGAAGTGATGATTAACTGTATTTTTTGGGCCAGTGTGATTTAAACACCTGGAATTATTAAAATCCTCATGGTATTCTTGGAAAATTATTGTCAATGTTAACCTTTTTTCTAATTTCCAAGGGTCATTAGACTATACATATGATGCTTGTATTACAGAATTTGAATGGACCAGCCCCTTATTTATGCCAGAGTCACAGATTCTCCTAGTTATTGTCCTCACTTATTTCCATGTCTCCCCACATCTTTAGACTAAGAGAATGTATGCAAGGAGAGACACATTTTTTTCACCCTGATACAGTGTATGATGAGGACCAAATAGGCCCTGGACAGCAAGAGTCAGGAGTGGTGAGACCTGAGTCCTTATAGAAACTGCCAGTTTCTGTTTGTAACACCTTGGACAATTGGTTTCATCTTTTTCATCTTTAGCTTCTCATCTGTAAAACATGATTAATAATATAGTGCCCTGTTTAACCGTACTACGATATTTTATTGACTTTACAGTTTACTAAGCACTTTTTAAAATAATTTTTAAAAACGAAATCTCAAACTTTTTACAAAAGTAGGTATAAGTATCCTATTGTTACATATGAAGACACCAAGTTCCACAGAGGTTAAATAACTTAAAGTTACACAGCTAACAAGCAATGGAAGAGTCCTTACTACACAGTTGGTGCTTCTTCACCTGTAATAGAATTTCTTTTTGCTTGATAGGGTTGTTCTGCAAGAAGGTAAGAGGCTATTTATGTGAGCATGCTAAAGGCTGTAAAGGACTATAGAAAAGTTTACAACGGTGTTATAATTGCCATTACTTTCTGCCATTGATTCTGAAAACTCAGTTTGCCAACTGTTTTCCTTCCCTGAAATTGGCATGCATGTTAAAGTCCATGGCTCTCCTCAGTTACTGTCAACTCTGTGTGGTCTAGACATAGTTGTGTGAAAACCTTCCGTGGAAGCCATCTGTCAAGATGAAGAAAGTCGAGTATCAAAGTACTTAGACTTTGATTTAGACTTAATGAAATAAGGTATACATTTTTACCAATGCATAAATATTCAACTAATGGACACCCACAAATCCTCACATTTCCCGTAGGGTGTAATCTGTTTGTACAGAAGGCATGTTTATTGTCCATGTTATTGATGCTCTTGAGCCAACTGAGCCTGGAAATACTAATGAGTCCATTAGTAAGCAAAACTCATTTACACATTTATATAATTTTGTGTGCACATGTCTCTACCTTCACAACGTACTTAAATTTTATGAATTTCAGTCATTTAATAAGAATTACTTGAAATCACTGTGAAGAAAACAGGTGGAAGTGACAATAACTTTGTTCTTAAAAATCTTAGACTCTAGTGAGGACAGGTAGAACATGTACAAATAAATATAATACCGGATAGAAGTGTTAAACGTGCAGATAAAGTTCTAGGTGAATATAGGGGTCCAGACTCATATGCAATGTAATTGGAAAAGCAAGGATTGGGTTGCTTAATTGTTGAATGGTCTCCATAAAGGGCTTTCACGTTGTTTTATAGAAAACATATTAAACAATAAAATTCCTTTTTCAAATTTTTAAATTATTTAGAGCAAAATTTTAAATGTTTACAGATTATATGTAGTTTAATGACTTACATAGTTGTATGAGGTTGAAAATTGAAGACTTCTAGAATTCCCATTTCTATATGCAAGGATATTCCTAAATTTAACTCAATAAATTCAGTGTGTAAACGCACAATGTTCATTTGCTCTTTCAGCTAGAAGAACAATCAAAACATGTAAGTCAAAAAGAAGATGTGGCTGCATTAAAGAAACAAATTTATGATTTATCAATGGTAAGAATCACCTCTTCACTTACAGGAATGCATTTCCTGTTAGATTACTGTTTTCTGAACATATTCATGCTATTATTTCAGTGTTCCAGGAATAGAAGCTTAAAGAGAAATTAATGCTATAGTTAGAGAAAGTCTTTGAAATACCTCAACCAAAGGTTTTATTCATGCAGACTTTTCCCCTCAATGATACGCCATCTGTTGTGAACACTTATATTTATTTTTTATTCCAAGCAATAATGGCATGGCCTGAAACGTTCAATAGTTAACTTTGCATTCTTACAGCATCAACTCTGGTCTGTGTCCCTGGTGTGGAAACGCCCTGCCCTTCCTCCAACTTTCCTATTTCTATTTCTTTTGTATCTTTTGCTGACCATATCTTTGGTCTTTCTATTGCCAATACTGATGACATTTACATCTGTTTTACTAGCATTAAGAAGTTTTCCTTATTTTTTAAGGTTAACTCTAAAAGTTGAAAGCCAATAACGAGCATTTCTTTTATTCTCACTTGCAGAGCCAAGACGTGAGATAACATGAGCGAGAATTGCATTCCTTTCTCTCTAGCCAGGAGCCCTGTGCCACTCAAAAGAGGTTTCTAACCTCACAGTCAAATGAATCCCCTTAATGCGTCACCAGTTCCATGTTTTGCCACATCTTAGTTGGCTCTGTATTTAGGTCATAACTATTTTACAGAGTTGCTTGTTTTTCTTGGATTTCCTGGTTGAGGTTTTGGTCTCTTGGTGTGAAAAGCAAAACAAAACAAAATAAAAATCTCTTCCATCTTCACGATACCACTGACTCCTTGTAACTTCCTATTCCTTCTTCTTAATGCATAGAATTTGTTTTTTCTCTTAAAAATAATTTTGGAGTCCACGAAGATTCAGTTCTTACTGGACTGATTGGGTCATCCTGGAATTTCTGATGAGTTTAGGTAGCTGGTGTAGGAGTCCTGTGCGGCTCGGAAAATGAATGTTTGCCTCAAGGCCTCTGCCCTCAAAAGAGGTCTTTCCAGGAGCTCTGTGTGTGAAGCTGGCTGTCAGACTGCGGGACCCCAATTACCAGAATGTGTGGGACAGGGATAGTCAGAGGGATGCTTTAGCTTTCCTTACAGGGGTCGTACAGTTTTTGTGAAAAAGACAGGCCCTGTCTTGTTGCCTTTGGAGAGTCAACCCTTGCTATTTGCTGTTCCTCCGTAGGGTAAGAGCAGCCTTAGGCTGGAGGGGAAGGGTGACTTAATATATAAATTGAATCTTTGTTTTCAGCTCCACACTCACTCTCTGGGCTTCCTGCTGGCCAACTGCCTCTTCTTTGTTCTATAGCAGAAAGTTCCACACTGTCTTCTGGATCTCCTTTTCCTTTACTCTCTTCCTTTCATCAGCACATTTCTGTCCAGTTTCCATTTTTCAGAAATGTTTAAGTCACTTCACTGCAGATATTCCCCTCTTCCATTATTTTAACTTTTATTGGCTTATTTCCTTTGGTATTTCATGTCAAAAGGGAAGGAAGACAAATTCATGTACTCAGTTCACCATTTTGAGCTGGAAGCTGCCAAAGATTTTTTTTTTAAGAAAAATTGCTTAGATAAATTCTTAAAGTTTTAAAAGTCCTTAGGAAATTCTAATTCCTTTAGAATTTCCAAAAAAAATAGAAAATTTTTAACTACATTGGTTTATTTTTAAGGGCAAAACTTAAAAATGTTTGATGATAGGATTTTTTGTAAAAAGTAGCCAGTCTACCTGGTAATAGATACCATTAATTTCCTAAAGTTTTTATCAGTAGTTTCATAGCTCTCAAGTAAAACATATGTTGAAATGTTTGGCCGCATTTAATTTGCCAATAACATGTCCAAGTACATAATGACAGACTCTTGAGTGTTGGAGTTTGGCATCAAATGACCAGTATTTTAAAAAAACAACTTTGAAGATTTAGAGTATTGACACCTTAATACTTTATAATAATTTCAAATTACCTTGACTTGATAATTAGTTCTTTGAATACCAAGATCTGAAGAATTGTGGCTGGGTGAGAGTGATATGTGGGGAAGTTACACTGCACTTTACTTTCTTTCTCCCAGGTGGAAGAAACTGAATCTAATGACCTGCACTATTCCTTTTCTCTAGGAAAATCAGAAAGTTAAGAAAGATCTTTTAGAAGCACAGACGAACATAGCCTTTCTTCAGAGTGAATTAGATGCATTGAAAAGTGATTATGCTGATCAGAGTCTGAATTCTGAAAGGTATGAAACTTCACATTTGTGTTTTTTTTTTTGTTTGAGTGGAAAGTTTATTTAGGTAACCATCCTGGGGATGAACTTTAGCTATATAATAATAAAAGCTTATCTGTTAGCTTTACTGATATATCCTTTACTTTCTAAAGATTTTCCTTTCAGTGTCAGCTTTCCCAGTAATTTTGGGGTTTTAGTATTTTTTTGTTTTATACAAACAGATGAATTAATTTAATTATTGGCTGGGTAGGACAGGGCAGGGATTAATAAATGTTTGAATTAACTGGGAGCAGAAGAATATATCTAACATTTCAAGGGTCAGTGCTAATTAAAGAGCTTTGAAGATAGGAATATTGGCCCTTTGACATAAGAAAAGTGGAAAATAAGCATTACTTAGGCAAGTAATTTTATTTCGCTTTCCTTTAGTTTTGCAGTATAGTATTAATAACAGAAGGCCTAACATACATACACAGAGGCAGGTATTTATTACACAAGCATATATATATATGAATGAAAATGAATATATGTGCAATTATAAAATATACATGAAGTCTGTCCAGAAAAAGTCAAACATAATGAGAATGGTTTGCGTGACATTGATGTAACCTGGCAGCCATGAAAAGTGTACTGGAATGCACATACATGAACAGTGATGACTTCACTATATTAGTCACTGGGGGCAGTAGATGCCATTGAGTGAGCATGTGTACTGTGTGGCCATCGCATTCAAAATGACTGAGAGAGTAAAGCAACAAATCTTCATCAAATTTTGCATTAAGCTTGAACATTCCTCCATGGAAACTTCGTGGATGATTTATGACAACCCACCTGCTCATGCATCAGGTCTCCAGCAGAGTTTTTTGGTGAAACATCAAATGACTCAGGGTGGCCTAGCCCCGCTACAGCCCAGACTTGGCGTCCTGTGACTTCTGGCTTTTCCCAAAACTAAAATCACCTTCGAAAGGGAAGAGATTTCAGACTGTTGATAAGACTCAGGAAAATATAATGGGGCAGCCCATGGCGATTGGAAGAACTGTGTCACGTCCCAAGGTGCCTACTTTGAAGGGGACTGAGGTGTCATTGTCCTGTGTACAGTGTTGTTTCTTTTATGTTCTTCAATAAATGTCTCTATTTTTCATATTACATGGTTGGATACCTTCTGGGCAGACCTTGTATATGCATATACATATTTGCATGTAAATGCATATATATGCATAGGAAATGCATCAATATGCATAGATGTATATACAGACGCATATATGTACACTTAGGAAAAGATCTTGTTTTTTGTTTGCTTCTTGGCAAACTTTAATCAGAATCAAGGTCCTATAATGGAAGGCAGTGCAGTGAAACATTTATGAAGTAGTTGCTGTATACAGGTCCGTGAGCTAAATGAGGAGTTTTGAGTGTGGAGCATATAAAAAAGGAAAGTTGTGGTCTCTGCTTGAGAACTTCAGAGTTAGTTGAGAAAGGTAAAAAGCTAAAGGATTACAGAGTTGACATAAGAGCTGAAGGGTGCCAGGAACAATACCACCAGCAGTGTCACAGGCTGGGTTCATTGCTGTGTGACAGTGGACAGTGTGTTCTTAGAGTTCAGAAGAGGTGAAGAGCTTTACTAAAGAGGAGACACTTGAAGGAACTTGGGAGGGGGAATGGGCTTGTGTTGATCAAGGGGAGCAAAGGCAACATCAGCAAGTAATGCACGTGCCATCTACCAGACAGCATCTTTAGTACTTTACTAGTATTAACTTATTCAGTCCACAGAATATCCTATGAGATAGGGGCTTTCCTTATTCCCATTTCACACATGGGAGGACAAAGTTCAGAAATGTTTCAGGTGAGGCAGTAACCAATGCAGTGTCAAGAACACAGGGACAGATAAGACTGTTTTGGGGAAGAGTGGTCATATCATTGGACAGAAAAAATAGGCAATTTGAACAGAGAGGTAAACATTAAAAAAATTAGAATGTTTAAAAGCTAGCTTAGCACTAGAATGTAAGGGCCCAGACTTTTTGGTGAAGGAACTTAAATTTCTATAGACAATTGGGAAACTTTTAGCCTTATCAAGAGAGAGAATGGGCAGGTTATTGTGCACAAAATTTGATAACCTGGGAGTTTTGGAAGCTACTGAGGGTGTTTTCTGCTTAGAAATGGGGCTGAGGTGGGGTGTGGGCTGGCGACGAGTGACTAATGTCCTGAGTGGACTTTCTGAGAATGAGGCCAGGGCTTCATTTAAAGCCACCGAGGAGTCAGTGTGCAAGAGTTTATGGAGAAAGCCTGATCCTGTGGGTCTCTCAGTGGTTCAGGGCAAGGAGGGGAGGGAGAGCAGGAGCAGGGGCAAAGCAAAGAGAGGAGAAGGTATCAAGAAAAGAGAATGTACCTGGAGTTGGGATTGTATAAGGCTTGGAATGAGCAAAAAAGGGTTTTAGGTGAGAGACTGAATTGGGGAGGGGGAGCTTAGCCGAAGATCAGTGGTTCATTCCCAGTGAAGAACAGAGCTGGGTCAGTGGGGTGTGGCTGGGAGGACGGGTGGGTGCTGAGTGGGCAGTGAGGTGGAGCAGCACCCGGCTCAAGGAAGCAGAGGGTGTGGGTGTGTTTGTGGAATCTAGGAGGAGAGGGGGCTGCAGACAACACAGAGGAACCAAGCGGGAGCATAGATGAATAGAAACTGGTGAAGGATGCATGTCTTTGAAAAGGTGAAAAAAGAGTCTGAGAGGACAGGTTTGGGTAAGGCAGGACTGAACACCTAATTTTCTTTCAAACATAAAATACAATTTTACAGGGATCTGGAAATAATCCGAGAGTACACGGAAGATCGAAATAGCCTTGAGAGGCAAATTGAAATACTCCAGTAAGTTCTCATATAAAATGCTCATTACATTTACATTTTATTTATTCTTTGTTAATAAAACACATGCCACCTATAACACAAGATGCTGAATGCTAAAGACTGGGTCCCCGTGTCCTTGCGTGAGTCTTCTGGCTGTGCTGCATTTAGTACAACCACTTGCTGTCTAATCCTAATTAAACTATTCAAATCCAGGCGCTCGAGTGTAATTCTCTAAAAGTCCTTGCAAGTCAGCTGATATGTCCAGCGTGCCTTTATTATGCCTCTGTAAAGAATAATGGCCCTGACCTTAATGGCTTTCTCTGCAGCTCAACTGAGAGGTTGTCAGGCATCTCACAGGAGTGCGTGTCACAGCGCTAGGCATACTCAACCATTCCTTCACAATTTATTGTGCTTGGTTAGAGGTATATTTTCCTTAGATTTAAAAAAAAAAAAGGTAGTGGAAATATTATACCTGCTCAGTCAACTTCACAGCTGAGTTGCAATAATTCCGGCTTCTGAGGCCCTTCTGCACAAAACCTCCCCCTATCCCTCCCTTTCTCTCTTTTCCACCCAGACAGTGTTTTCTGCTGTTTTCACCTCCCTCTCATGAAGTAAGATCAGGCTTGACAAATTTTTTCACCACCTTTGAGTGGTTATTAAGTCTCACCTGTGGCAATTACAGAGTTGACGTATTACCATAATCCTCTTCATTCATTCAGCAGATTTTCACTCACCATCTTTTATAGGTCAGGTGTGCCGGGACCTGAGGATAGGGTGGCAAGTAGGGAGAAAACTCTCTCTCTGTTACTGGGACTAGTCAAGGGAAGAAGAGAGAAACCGATCAATGACTGTAGAAATATAAAGTGTCGAATGAGAGAGGTGAAGCAAAGGGAAGGGATGTGTCCCCTACAGGCATACTGTAGAGAACTTCGGCCTAACCTGGGAGGTCCAGGAAGTGTTCACGGTGGGAGCACCGAGTGAGCTGAGGTCTGAAGGATGAATAAGCCATCAGCAGGGAGAGATTAGCCACTCTCCAGGGCAGAGGTTCTGTCATTAGCCTCATTTCATAGAAGAGGCTGCTGGGGCTCTGACAGGTTAAATAACTCGTGTCAGTCATGTGGAAAGGATGCACCTGAATTGGGATTTGAACCCATAGTCAACATTGGAGCCTTTAGCAGGTACATGACAGTGCCCGGTGGCACAGCACCAGGCCAGGAGTGGGATGCAGCAGTAGCCAGGAAAAAGTGTGGTGTAGCACAGCGCATCCACAGCCAGGCTGTGTGCAGGCCGATAGGGCGTGGCTTGCGGTGGTGGCCTGGTCCAGGCACTTAGGGAGTGGGGACCTGCATGAAACCTGTTTAAACAGCGGGGCTACCTCTGGGAAGATCAGTGCCACAGAACAGCTAATACCTTTCTTAAAATGCCTTGAGATCTTTAAAAGAGAGGCAATACATCCATTAAGTTGTGCATTCAGTTTATGAGCTGTGAAGGAAAGAGGTAGCAAGTTGCAAGAGGTGGTAATTCCACATTCTGAACATCACAGCCTGAAAAATAAGTGCTGACATTTACTCCCACTAATACGTCTCTGTATCGATTTATCTCTTTTATTCACTTGCTCTGTAGAACAGCTAACCGGAAACTGCATGACAGTAATGATGGCCTAAGGAGTGCCCTGGAAAGCACTTACAGCAAGTTCAACAGATCCTTGGTATGCTGTAGAATTTTCCAGTACCTGTTGTTCTGTCTGTGGTAGACTATTTTGATGAAAAATCAAAATCAATTTTGATGAAAATTAGGGAAGAACTTGCAATCATGAGGGACTATTCCATATAATAAAAGGGGCAGCATTTTCCCAAATAAAAAAAATATGCTACCCTTCTGAGGAAATAAATGCCTAGAGGTTAACCAACGCTTTTTAAGATGGTCTAGGAAACCAGAGAAAGGTGTATAAAGGCGCAACCTGGGTTCTGGCAGAGTTTATAGTGTAGTAGGTAGTTAAGATATGCACAGATAGCAGTACCATCAGAAAAAGTGGGCTGTCCTATTTGTTGTACAAATGAAATACTGCCCAACTGAGAGGAAGGAGAGGTGCTTCTGGCTGAGAAGTGTGTTTACACACATTGAGTGTTCTTTACGGTAGTGAGGTGATCAGAGTGGAGGCCTTGGATTTTAAATCCTCCTACAAAAAGCAGCTAAGCCCCATTTGGAATTTTGTGGACCTTCCCCAGACTGTGTGTGCCAGAAAGCCTCTTCCCCCACATTTCAGGGTCAGCTTCACATTTGGGGTCCTAGTGCCATGGCTTTGGATATGGAAGGGTCACTCATTAAGTCAAATGATGGTTTGAGAGGAAGCAAATCCCTAGAAGTTGGTATTGCCCAGTCCTGGCAGATCTAGGAACTGGGTGCTGCTTGATGGGGGACGCGGTGGGGTGTAGACTTATGACACGATAAGGAGAAAGTACCATGTGTGGTTGTTGCATTTTTCTCCTCGATTTCTGTGCTCATGTTTGCTCGTGTAGGACACCAAATTTTTAATTACATTCAAAATTAACTAGTGTGCTACAGTTTAAATAACATATATAAATAAAATGTTTACATGGAGTAACAAACCATTACTTATGTATTACAGCGTATAAATAATATATCACCAGGGAATACGATTTCTAGGAGCAGCCCCAAATTTAATGGTCATTCTCCTCAACCTCCGGGCTACGACAGGTATGTTACTTACATTTAGTTTGAATTCTAGATCAAAGTTGAAAGAAAAGTAAATTTCCTTAGAGGTAAATTAAGGTCATAGAATATATTTTGGGTACAAATTTCTACTTCTACTTTTACTTTAAATTTTGGAAACATGAATATATTTCAAAATATATAAAGATCAAAGTAAAAATGTTGCAGAAAGTCCAAAGTTATTTCTTTAAGCTGTTATCCTGACTTGGTTTTATGTATGTTCACCTTTACCTCATCCCTAATCATCTCTTGTTTCATAGGAATGGAGTCAGTAAGTGGAGTTTCAGGGAAACCAATCTTATGATATATATGGTATATGATTTTGAGACTCTTGGCAAATGTTTAATAGCTCAGCATAATATTATGTCAGCTATATTCAAGGGAAAGGAAATGTTCAAAACATATAGCACTATGGCTAGTAAATGTTTACAAGCCACTGTATTAAAGAAGCCACAGAGGCTTACCAGAAGTGGAAATTTAGCTCTGTTTTTAATTAAATGTAGTGAAATATTGGCTCTACTGTAACTTGAGATCCAGCAATAAAAATCAGAAGATTATATATGTGTACACATGTGTGAATTTATACATATATCCAGTGTTGCTACTTAAAAAGTTACTTTTGGAGTATGTCAGAGTTTGAAAGTAGAAGTGAATGCACAGACTACAGGTTTCCATCTTTCCATTTCTGGTGCAACTTTCTGATTCATGTTCATTCCCTTTTTACCTAGGAACCTTTGGGCTAAAGAATAATGTACTTAACATCCTGGTGATAACAAAATAGGCAAGTGCCCTTTAAGGAAGGTCTATAACCAAGGCAATTGGTGATCACTTTTAAGGAAATTCTGTCCACATATCAGATGTTTTTTTTTTAATTTTTTAATTTTTTTAAAGGTTTTATTTATTTATTTTTAGAGAAACGGGAAGGGAAGGAGAAGGAGAGAGAGAGAAACATCAATGTGTCGTTGCCTCTCACAAGCCCCCAACTGGGGACCTGGCCCACAACCCAGGCATGTGCCCTGACTGGGAATAGAACTGGAGAGTGACCCTTTGGTTTGCAGGCTGGTGCTCAGTCCACTGAGCCTCACCAGCCAGGGCCGTATCAGATGTTTTTATTGTTCACTGCTTTGTGAATAAAAGATGTTAATGGTTTACTGATTGATAGGCAGCTGGCTGCTCTGTGATTGGGAGATAGAGATCACTTCTAAGAATGTGGGGTGTGATGCCATTTTTCTGAACTGATATCTAAGGTCATTTTTAAGGACATAGGAGATAAGATACATAACTGAAAATTATTCCAGAAATTTTATCATGATTTATTTTTGAAAACAGTAGATGCCATGAATACAGCTCATAAATACTGGACTAAGAGCTCCTCGACAGTAGAGTCTAAGGGACAAAGTCATCACACCCCAGTGGCTCAGCGTGACAGGAACATATCACACGTATGCTCATCACCTTGAACAGTAACTGGAGAGACACATGGTGTGACTGATGTTTCTTTTGGGGACATCTTTAGTATGATATGAAAGTTAACATTTTATTTTCTTTTTGATGCTATAAAAAACTTAAAAGCATATTATAAATTTAATTTTATTAATCTGTATGTTTTTTTAGTTTTGTGTTTTTCTAAGAGCTCTAATAAAATATAACTTGTGTTATACTTTTACATATTGTAATAAAAATATTCTTTAGTTGGGTAAGAACAGTTTCCTTTTAAAATAGTATGTATATAAGTTGAGTTTGGAAAAGTCTGATTTGTATCTATATATTTAATTTAGAGTTTAGATATTCATATAGGTGATTTCTCAATTCAGGATTTTACTGCTCTTTCATTCTTTATCAAAGATACAATTAGGTTAAAAAAAATAAAGTTCTGACCAATAATGACATCAGCTGAAGTAGTTTTGTACTATACTATAATGAAAATTTTTTTTTAGGTTCCTTATAGGTTAACCTAAAATCAGTTTCAGGAGAGTTTCACAGATGATTAAATAGTAAAAGAATGTGTGTGTACACACACACACACACACACCCCCACCCCTCCCATCAAGCTAGCTAGATCTGGTTCCAGGAAAAAGACCTCATAACTAAGCAACATGTTTAGACAGAGTATGGTAGTTAAATCACCTTTTTAGTTAATTTCAAACATTTGCTAAAGGCACCAAAATATTTTGATATCTTAGATTTTTTTTGTATGGCTTGTACTTATATTAAGATCACCCTGTCTTTTCTAAGTGTACCCAACTCTTATTATTTCCCATATCTGGAGACCCAAGTACCCTGCCCCTTCCCTGCTTCTGATGAGATCATGTATGCTAAATAGGATCATGCCTGGTGTGTTGCGGGGTCTAAATAAATTGTAATCATTTTTTAAAAATTTTAATATAAACTTAGGTTCTTATGAAAATGAATAGAAAAACGAAAGTTAATAGGGAAATAGGCAGTTTCTTCAGATTCTCCTGTTTGAATTTCAAAAAAGGAAAGATCAATAAAAGTCAGAAGTTCTAGCCTTTACCTATGAAACCTCTCTTATACAGGTCTTTCCACACTATGTGTCAATGCTTAATGGAAGAAATCTCATCTCGCCTGTGAAACCATTCCAAAACCACACATTTCTAATTGCCTATCATTTTTTACCATTTTGTTAGAAATATGACTCCCAGGAAAGTTTAGCAGTTGGTCCTTATTTGGTCTTGGGCAAGCTGAGAGAATATATTCCTTGATTGTTTGAAAAGAGGAATCATTGAGACTGAAGCCGAGTACACTGAATGACTTCTCCTGTCGGAGGTTTTTGAGTCTCATGTCGTCATGGTGCCTTTCCCATCCCAGTTTCAGCATCCCTTTTAAATAGAGATTTTATCTAGAAACGGACACACTGTTCAGAATGTTGTCTGACCACATCAGAGTGAAAAGGTTCACATGTTCTATATTTTCTTTTTTAATGTGACTTTCGATTGCATTTAGACTCTGGGAACTTTTGTATCAGGAAATAAAGGTGGTTTTTAAAAATAGCTTCATTTAGTAAATGTTTGAGTGTCTTTATATATTTTTTTAAAGATTTTATTTATTTATTTTTAGAGAAAGGAGAAGGGAGGGAGAAAGAGGGAAACATTAGTGTGTGGTTGCCTCTCGTGTGCCCCAAACTGGGGACCTGGCCCGCAACCCAGGCATGTACCCTGGCTGGGAATGGAACCACAGTGACTCTTTGGTTCGCAGGCTGGCACTCAGTCCACTGAGCCGCACCAGCCAGGGCTGAGTGTTTTTGTCCTAATTGATTGTTGCAGAGAAAGAGCTGATGTGGCTTTGAACATTTATTTCCCCCGATGCTTAATCATGGATTACGTGTGGCTCTTGGCAAAAGTGAAAATGTTGGTCTTCAAGAGTCCATTATGTCCCACTCTTGCCTGTGTGGTTTTGAGCATTGCAAGCCCTCGGCTGAAGCAGTCTTCTCCTTTCTCCCAGGTCATCCCGCTCCTCCTACGTGGATGAGGACTGTGACTCGTTGGCCCTCTGTGATCCTATGCAGAGGATGAATTGTGAAGTTGACAGCCTGCCTGAGAGCTGCTTTGACAGCGGCTTGTCCACCCTGAGAGATTCCAATGAGTACGACTCGGAGGTGGAATACAAACACCAGAGGGCATTTCAGAGGTCACATGGCACGCAGGAGAGCTTTGCGGGGGATGCTTCAGACACAGACGTAAGCCCCAGAAATCACTGCTCTCCTAAGCCTTATCTTTTTAGAGATCTGTCACCCTGTTTGACTTTGATCCATCATCGGAATCCATTTTCAAGGTTATAAATATGAAACATAGGTGGAATTCTTTTTTTTTCCTCCACCAAAATAAGGAGAAATTCTCATAGACTGGTGTTTGGGACCACTTTATTTCATAACAGCATTGCCTGTAGATTCAACTGTATATTTTTCTTCTCTTTAATCTATGCTGTATATGTGTAATGAGAGTCTTTTGGTTCTTTAACAGCTAACTTTTTTTTTTTAATAGGTTCCTGATATAAAGGATGAAGAGACATATGGTTCAGAAGGCATGGCTTCCGTCTTAGACTGGAAGCCCCAGGGGTCTGCTAGTGAAGGCAGCGTTGCTGGTGTTTCAAGAAAGCCCATCTTGGCACTTTCACCCCAGGTAGGTAGTTTCTGAGACAATTTTATTCATGAACACAATTTTCTACATCATAAAACTTTTAGGAAGAAAACTGGCACTCCCTTTGTCACCCACTGTGGCTTTCCCCCCCAGACAGACCTGGTGGATGATGACAAACCTTCCAGCTCACAGAAGGTTTACAAGATTGTGCTTGCTGGGGATGCTGCCGTGGGGAAGTCTAGTTTCCTCATGAGACTTTGCAAGAATGAATTTCGAGGAAATACAAGTGCCACCCTGGGTATGGTTCCTTTTTCAGATACTTAAGGGAAAAATGACCTTCTTTAGCTTGATTTTATTTTCTTTGGGGATTATATACAAGATACACAGATCAGTCTTCTCTCTCTCTCGCGCGCTCTCTCTCTCTCTCTCTCTCTCTCTCTCTAGATGTGTGTGTGTGTGTGTGTGTGTGTGTGTGTGTCCTTGTCTGTTGAATGGTCCTCTTTTTGTTTTGGCCAAGGCCCGACGTTAGGAAAGGAAGACTGACAAAGGACAGAGGTATCTACTTAGCCAGTCAGATGAACCATACCAAGGTTGGAGCCTGAGATGATATTCATTTATTCAGTTAGCATTTCCTGGGTCCTACTGTGAGCCAGATGCTGTTGTAGGCACTAAGGATACATAATGGACAGAGCTGACTATATCCCAGCCTGCAAGGAACTTGCATCCTAAAGAAAGGAAGTAGATGTAAAACAACTACAAAAAAATATGAGGTTTAGGAAGAGGTGCACTTTTGTACAAGGTGGCTAGGGCAAGCTTTTCTGATAAGATGTCATTTGATTTTGGTAAAGTGATGTTATGGATAGCTAGTTTGTCACTGTGGCCAAAATCATAGATGTACGAGGTATGTCTGGAAAAAGTCCACCCGTTGTTAATATAAAGAGAACAGTTTGTGCGACATTGATGTAACCTGGCAGCCAAGGAGAGTGGACTGTAATGCACATACGTGAACAATGACGACTTCACTGTCCTAGTCAATGAGGGCAGTAGATGCCACTGAATGAGCATGTGTACTGTGTGGCCGTTGCATTCAAAATGAGCCAGTTGAGCAATGAATCTGCATCAGATTTTGTGTTAAGAGTCCATTATATAGAGTCCATTGTGTTCAAGAGTCCATTATGCATATGGAAACTATGGAAACTCTGCGTATGATTCAGAAGGCTTGCAGCTATGGGCAACTGGTGACTGGCAGCTTCATCATGACAATGCGCCCACTCGTACATCATGTCTCCAGGAAAGTTTTCTGGTGAAACATCAAATCACCCAGGTGACTCAGCCCCTCTACAGCCCAGATTTGGTACCCTGTGACTTCTGGCTTTTCCCAAAACTAAAATCACCTTTGAGAGGGAAGAAATGTCAGTCCATTGATGAGATTCAGGAAAACACAACGGGCCAACTAATGGTGATCGGGAGAACTGTGTGAGGTCCCAAAGTGCCTACTTTGAAGGGGACTGAGGTGCCATTCTCCTGTGTATAGTGTTTCTTGTATCTTGTATCTTCTTCAATAAATGTCATTATTTTTCATATTACATGGCTGGATACCTTCTGGACAGACCTTGTATGCTCCCTCCTCTACTGTAGAATAACAGTACTATCTTTCAGAACATGGAAAGATGTAGTGTCCTGATTTCCCAAATTTGTGTAATAATCAGTAAAAGGAGTTGAGGATACGCAAATTATTATTAATATTTTTCTTTTTCTAAAGTGTCCTTATTTAGATAACCAGAAATGTTTAAAAAAGGATTTATTACCATCTTCATAATGGGCATCTTTGTAAATTTATAGTTCTCTGTTAGACTAGTGAAGATAACAAAGCGGAAAGTTCACTTCAATTTGATTCATAAAAAGATTATAATATCTGGTTCAGTTGTTAGAGACCATGGTATATATACATATCATATACATATATACACGCACACATGTATACATGCATATATACACCTATACATATTTATGTACATGTGCACACATACACAGATATAACTGAGTTCATCTAATTACGTGGGCAAATAGAACATAGATTATCCCTTTGTCCTCATACTAAATCCTTCCCCAAGTCAGCCAACCTGCAGATGGTGCCTCTGCGTGCGCTTGTTTGGTGTGGCTTACCATTATTATGTGATGGTCACTCTCCGTGAAGTCCATGTTCATTTTTCTCTGCCACGCTGGGCTCTTTGGCTTATTGGCTTGAAAGTAAAACCAGTGGAATTATTTACACCATGTTCTCCATGTTCTCCTATATTCCTTTTCAGGAGTTGATTTTCAGATGAAAACTCTCATTGTTGATGGAGAGCAAACGGTTCTGCAGCTCTGGGATACAGCCGGCCAGGAGAGGCAAGTGCTTTCCGTAAAGCTTCGGGCTCTGCTTCGGCTTGCACAGACACGCTTTGTAGCACACTTGGTGTGTTTTATGCTTATAATTATATAATTGTAATATACCATATAGTTATATGGTCCATTAGAATTTCAAGAATGTTCACTTTTTTCCCTATCTTACCTTCTTCAGTTATCTATCAGTTGTGTGAGGAAAGGATCTTAAACCTCCACTGAGCTCATGTTCAGCTGGGAAAAAGAGAGCGGCCTTTCCTAACAAGTATTTAGGTGAGACCGCACCTCTGAAGGCAGTGACAGTAATTGGGGCACAGAAGAAGGTGGGGAACAGAACCTGTCAGCTCCTCTTGGTTCAGAGGCAGAGGCACAAACTAAGTAGTAGACTCCCATTTGGTGACCTAATTGTCATTTATTGCTGATGACCAGAAGCATTAAGCATAGCCTTTAGTATTGTCTAACTCTTTGGGAGTAGAATGCATCTCCCAAATTGTTCAACAAGTAAGATTGTTCAACAAGTAAGTATGGAATGCCTGCCTACCTCTATACCAGGCACCATTGAGGCTGCTAAGATTCATCAGTGAATCTTTTCAATAGGACACAGCTACCTGCCCATACGGAGCTCATATTCTGTAGCAGACTGAGAGTGTCAATATATGAAACATACTTGTGGCTGACATGACCCTATGTAAAACAATATAAAAGATTGCACTTGGTTTAGATTCAGACATATATTTCACAGTGTACTCTTCCCCCGGTGAATCCCTTACCTGTGTATGTGAAGCTTCTGGCGCATTGTCATGCCCAACATTGTTAGTTCTTCTAACACCCAGAAGACCATTTTTCTCTGATGTCCATCTCCTTCCCCCCTTTTTCTGTATCCCACTTAATGGATTTTGGTAGGTTTTTGCTAAAGCTGGAATTTTCAGAAATCACACTGTCAGCCTTGTCCTGGTTGTGTTCTGGGGTTTGTAGACATTCTTGGGGTTGTTTGGTGGAGAAAATGATTGGCTTTTTTAAAATCAGTAGCCCAGATTTTACATTACGTTTCACTGGGTCGTGTTAGGCCTCGGAGATGGCTGATCCACAGCGATACGTTGCCAACAGATTTTTCTCAATTGGGGCTTGTTTGAGAAGATGACAAAAAAGTGCGCATAAAAGAGATGAATGAAGCAGCACCAAATGAACTGATCAGAACCGTGACTTAAGTTCATTTCTCTCTTCCAGATTCAGAAGTATTGCCAAGTCCTACTTCAGAAGAGCAGATGGTGTTTTGCTGCTGTATGATGTTACGTATGAGAAAAGCTTCCTTAATGTACGAGAATGGGTAGATATGATTGAGGTAAGAAATCAAAACAGAGAAACAGGAAATTACATGGGAAGGCAGTAGGCCATCTTGGAAAATGCAGGTTCTTTTTTTCATCAAAAGGAATGTGATGAGAACTCACTGATCTGCGGTGTCACAAAGAACTGGATGTTAGAGGAAGAGTTCCCAGTGGCACTCGGCAGCGATGGTGTCTCCCTCAGTAGCTGGGCAAATTCCCACAGGGCCAAGTACACAACTAAAAAGGAGCTTCTGGGAATAAAACTTCTGGGTTTTCTTACAGATAAAATCAGAACCCTATTGGAAGCAGGTGGAAATGCAGGTAATCTGAGAAGCAGCCGCTCTCCCGAGGCTGGTGTGGCTGGGTGTAGAGCATGGTTGCACATGTGTGGGGACTTCCTCGTGCACTGGGAGCACAGGTGAAACCCACCTGGTGTGAGCATATGCGAAGCCCAAATTCCATAGCAGCTGTGTTCTCAGCCTTATTCTGGGAGTGATTTGGCTCTTTATAAATCCCAAGGTACCACTGGAAAACTAATTGGTATTTTAAATGTGTGTGATAGCTATCTGTGCTTTCTTTTGAGCAAATGAGATGGTGTCTTTCATCTGAGGAGCTCTCATATCCTTTGGTTTCATGGTAAATACTGTTTAAAAGTAGGAAATGATTTGACCACAGTTAGTGTGCTGCCAGCACTTATTAGTCCATGTAAAACTATAGTTCAAGCTGTGGTTCAGCATACTCTCTAGGGGGAAAAAAACCCCTGAAACACTAGACTAATACAATTTTTCAAGTAGGTCTATTATGTATAATTTTTAACAGGCATTAAGTACAGGGGCACTCAGTTTACAATCTAACTGAACAAGTTATGTGATAAGGGACATTGTAATTGGCAATAAAACTTCGTGATAAATAAATGTGCATTTTGTCCTATGGAAATATGACTTAAAATTATAAATGCAGAGAAAGTGTGTTGGCATTTACAAAATATTTTTTTCATAACATCTTCCGTTATGAAACCTATGAACGTTATATTCATCTCTGTAACATATCTGAGAAAGGGAGAGACATAGTGTTATTTTCACTTATTATGAGAAACCTGAGGCGCAGAAACCATATCACACTGGCGTCTAGTTATTTAGAGGTTAGGGTTGGAACGGGGGCCAGAATTGGTCCTTCTGGTTCCATGTGGTTGCTCCCTTGCTTGGAAAAGCATCAGAGTGAGCAGCAGATTATGAGAAGAAGCTTCTGAGGTCAAGAATTCCTTTCTTGAGGTACGGTCCGCGCATGAAGGAGCAGCATCTACGGCAGGGAGCAGTGGCACGCGGTGGGATAGAGCAGTAAGCCCAGAGAATAATGGATAATCCCAGCTAACTAACCCACATGGGTAGTTAAAAGTACGGCAAAACTTTTTGTTGAAACACTTTGAACTAGTTTTCATTGTAAGTCTTTGGATCATGCTCAAGAAAAAGAAGCCTAAGAGGCAAGGCCGCCGCAGGGTTGAAAGAGCCCCTAGTGACCCGCTGTAGTATGTGCCACGGGCCCACTACCATGGCTTGCCGTGCCGAGCACAGGCTGAGTGACCTTTTCAGCTTCGTAGCACTTTTCACGGGGTCTGGGGAGTACGAACACTGTATTCAAGATGAATTATTGAATTTGTTACAGAGAAAAAATTAGAGACCACTTGGCATTTAACTTTCATATCAAAAATAATGGGTGCAGTGAACCTTTGCCATGGCTCACCCTTTCCAATTTGAGGAAATTCCATAGGGACAAGTTTATATGGCCACTATGAATATGGGTAGAAACTAACTGTGTTATCATCAGGATAGGGCAGAGGGTTGAGAAGAAGTAGAATGTCAGTGGTGAATGGACCCTCCGAATTAATAAACACTTTGAAAGCCACTATATTACAGACTCTTGTAATAAAATCATGGGTAAAATAAAATTATGGCCATTTATTTATCTGTCATGAATAATTTATTGACTGAATATTTGAGTAAAAGTTGAAGGGAGATGCTTGAGACATGAGATCTCATCCTGACTTTTATACATTCAAAAATATTGGGTGCCTCCCCAGTGCTGGTTCTGTTCAGGTGCCTGGGATGTGTTTGTTAAGAAAGCAAAGAGCCCTGTTCTTGTGGAGCTTGTTCTTTAGTGAGGGAGATTTAACAAGAAGCAAACATACATAAATAATATAAATAGAATGATGGAGAGCGATAAATGTTACCGTAACAAACAGAGGGCAGGAGGGCGGCCTTTGGATGACGTAGTGGGCCGCAGTTGTCCTCAGGGTGGTCAGGGTGGCCTGACGAGAAGGTGATATTTGAGTCAAGACTTGAAGGAGATATTTACCTGTGTGACTTTGGGAAGCCATTTAGATGCTGGGATTCTTGGCTTACTTAAGTGCATATTTGGTTAATGGCTTCCAAATGAGGTCCCTTGGACCCTGAGCTGAAGGCCAAAGAACGCAGTTAATTAACACATTAAGGGGTGGGTGGGGTAGGTTTGGAGAGGGCCTTTTAATTCCCGCTGCCCCCCCCCCCCCCCCCCCTGCACTGAACACACTCATCATGATGCCTTCAGTGAGAGGAGAGTGGCCTGAAGAGAAGGGAAGTCAGATTTAAGTTCATGATTTCTAAGGCTTATTTCTTGACCCTGTTCTGGTTATGGCACCAAACTGAATGAGCACCTGGGTGTCTTTAGGCACTGCAAAGAGTAATTTCCACGTGCCTTATCCAGGGCTGCTGCTTCTCTCATTTAGGACCCAGAAACCCATTTTTTTGGGCTAGGCAGGTTACATTCTCTTGTTCTCATCATAGCCCACTGAGTTGGAATCTGGCTTTTATGTACCCCCTCATTTTACACATAGGGATATGGAGGCAGAAACATGAAAAGGCTTGCTTGATTTCACACAGCCAGTGAGTGACCTGGAGGTGGTAGAGGTGGGGTTTCAAATTCACATTGGCCTCTCACATCTTACATTTCAAAGCAGCTCTGAGAGTGTGAGATAGTGTGACAATTTCCATATGCTGTTTTGGAAACATTATCCTGAGACGCTATTATGTTGAATAGAGTGGTAATTGATGACTCATAAGAAAAGTGTTGACTTTGAGGACCTTCTTGCTTTGCTTTTGTTGCAAACCAGAGAGCAGCAAGTGTGGAACTTCCAAATTCCATTTTGGTCCCATTACAGCTGAGGGATTACTCATGCGTTTTATATCTGGGATAATGAAGTTGACTTGTAATCACTCTTGGTCAGAGTGAAAGTTACAGAAAATGATGTGGGCATTGCAGTTAGATGCAATTCTGATGTCATGCTTCTTGAGTTAATATTGATTTGTTTGTCTGGTGGGAAGGGGGATGCAGTCAATTTAGACCCTAGCCCAGGCCCTTACTATTTCCTATTTGAAATCTTTGGATTTCAGTGTTCTCACCTGGCAATGGGGAAGCATTTGGCTCTCTTTAGAGATTTTGAGGTTTAAGGATCATATCGGTACGTCATGTGGCACACAGGGACTTTTGGACATGGTAGCTGCTGTCGTCATCATCATAATGTGTTTAGTGTTTGATGTTTACACACCTTTCTCCTTTTCCTTGTGATAGGACGCAACCAACGAGAGTATTCCTATCATGTTGGTGGGAAACAAAGCTGATCTCCGTGACACTGCTGCTGCAGAGGGACAGAAATGTGTCCCGGGATACTTTGGAGAAAAACTGGCCATGGTAAGAGTGAGAGTGGGTCCACATTGGAAGAGGTCTCTTGCTTTTGTCTGCCTTTGCCTAAGAGGTTCTTTGATGAACCTGCACCCTGTTTGATGGGGCTTCTGTACTTATTCAGGCAGAACTCCCAATGTTCCTCCATTTGATGAATGTAAGTAATTGCACCAACGGTTAAACGTCTCCTAGAGGTAAATTGATCACTTGATCCTTTCCTCCCATTGACTATCCTTGACAAAGAGGAGCCAGAGTTATCACATCTTCCTCCTCCCTCTCACCCAGTTCCTGGAATCCTTCTGGCCCTGGAATCCAGGTAAAGGAAAAGAATGGGTGTCCTATTTTGAAAAGATGGGTTTGATTCCAGAGGGTTACAGTGCCTAGGGGCAGAAGATGGTGCAATGCGTCACCTGGTTGGAAAAGAATACTATTTTTTCCCACCCTGTAAGACCTGTGTTTAGTTGGAATAGTCTCAACTTATTTTCGGCTTGCATTTGTATAGAGGATGTAGCTCACTCCTGTCCAAATGATGACTGTGGGCAATGTTTATCCTCCTGTTACTATCACTGGGTCACAGTGCTACGCGGCCCCCTTGTACCTTGTCCTACCCTACAAGGAATCAAATGCGCATTGAGTCAGATAAGTTCATACTGTAACAGTCTGATGTGACATTGCTGCCATTGTTGTCTGTCATCAGCGCCATGAAAGGACGTCTCTGTAGCATATCCACATGAACTTTAGAAAGAAGTTTGAATTTCACTATTCTGAGTTGGGGGATCTTTCTTGTTTTACATTTTAGAACTCTGAAGCAAATACGATAAACATCAAAACGAAGCAGTGACACAGAAGAGATTCATTCAGCACTATTTAATTGTCTCCACGACATCACAAGCACTATATTGTGTGCTGAGCAAAGACTAGATAGAGAACAAAACACGCAGTCCTTGTCCTTCCAAGTTCACTGCCTGGGGGAGATGGACAGGACATGCACGTGACCACATTGCGGGCCGTGTCCCCCATGCCACATCAGAGACCTCACAATTCCTGTCCACGTGCCGGTTTTACCCCCTTCCCACAGCTTCTCAGGTTCCGAGGTGGGCCTGCTACGCTTCTCACTGCTGACACCCTCCTGTGTCCTCAGAGGCATTCGTTTCGCCCCGTAACATCCTGGCCACGTAACAGCAGCGGCACTACCCATTTCTGCTAGAAATCCGTTCATTTTGTGAGTTCTTACAAATTTGTCTATGGATTCGGGGGCGTGTGGGTAAAGGTCCCACAGCGGAGCTTCCCCCACTGTTTGGTTTCCCTCTCTCCGCCTGCCGCGGAACAGCCATCACACCCTCCCCGTATCCCACCCAGGAGTGTGAGACCCCCACCCAGGCCACAGCACACACCATTGTTTTTTCCTAAGGGAAATCGTCTCCACCCTGTTCGACAAAGACACACGGTAACTTCATTAGTTACAGCTGTGGCAAGTGCGATGCAGGAAAAACATAGATGGCTCTGAGGTTTTATAATAGGGAGACCCAACAGGGACTTAACAGGGTTAGAAAACAACCTTAACTTCAGGGGAGGATTACCTAACATCCTAAAGGTAGGTTAGGAGTCAGTCTGGAGAAGAGGGTCGATAGGGTAGAGGGTAACCTAGCTAATGGGAACAGCAGGTGCAAAGATCCTGAGAGGAGAGGGAATTTGGGGCATTGGGGAAACAGAGGGAGCATCATGAGTGAGAGATCAGGGCGGCAGGTAAAGCTGGGAGGTTGGTTGGGCCACATACAGGCAGGTCTTACTGGGCATTGTAAAGCATTTGAACATTAGTTAAAGTAGAACAGGAAGCATTGAAAGGTTTGAAGCAGGAGAACGATACGGTCAATGAGCATACACATAACCACTGGAAGGCTGACTAACAGAGGGCTAGAAAATGCCCAATGGTTTTAGCAACATGCAGCTGCTGAATCATGATAGGAAATGATAGTGTGTGCGCTGCTGCCAAAAGGAGACATACTTTTGATGGACTTTAAATTCCTGAGTAGTTACCTTGAGCTATCATTTCTATTTCTCTCAAATGATTTGGTAGCAAACGTTGGGTAGCATGTGTATGACTTTTGGGAAATAAACACCTTAAAACAGGAAATTTTGCATCGTGGGTTTTTATTTTTTAAATGCAAACTATAAACTACCTTGACTAGGAACTGTTTCTGGAATAACAAGGCTTTATAACTATTGTAACTCTGAATCCAATTTCTTAGCTACTAGTCAACTCTTAGTGTACTTACTCCATAGGAAAATATTTTTATTTTAATGATTTATAAGCTAAAATTTTAGGAAACTTAAACAAAAGCTTTGTTTAATAGTGTATATTTCTTTTCTACAGACCTATGGGGCTTTGTTCTGCGAAACAAGTGCCAAAGATGGTTCGAATATAGTGGAAGCTGTTCTCCATCTTGCCCGGTAAGGCTTTGTCTCTTATTTTGAAAACTGGATGTAGGATTGAATTTTCATTTAGCTGGTGTACTTGTTAAACTTCTCCACCATAACATGACTATGCATTGGAAAACACTGTCTGGCCTTTCAGTAGTGGTTAGAGAAACAAACACAGATTTTATAAAAACTAGTAATGCTGTATGTTCACTGTGAACATTGGCAAAATACCTTTACTGCCAAACAAAGCAGGTGCATCACTGACATTTCTGCAGAATGTCACCACAAAGCTAATAGTTGACTTACATGAATCATTTCCAGGAACCAGATTTTAAACACAAGAGACTATTATGAATGTAACTATTGTGACGTTTTCCAGTTAAAGGAAACAAAGGCTCAGTAAAGCAAATTGTGTATCATGCCAGTTGGAAGCACTTTGTTAAATTTATTACACAGGTAATTGTTAAGCTAAAGCAGTGATGTTAATAATAAATAACATTTTGTGAGGTAGATTAGAATAAAATATTGCATGCTTCGGGAACTTGGATGTAAATGTGTGTTTTAATCCTTAGAGTACTCTCAGGAAATAACAGCATTTTTTGTTATAATTATTTCTTCTGCCTAGTTTTCTGCCACAAATAAAAAGATTCTTTACTGGCCTAAAGGAATTAAGTATGCAAGAAAAAAACAAAACACCAAAATATGTGTTAACAACATCCAGGCCGATGATCTTTAATTGCTGACAGAGCCAAAACATAATTTTAGATTATAAAGTGCATTTCCTGATCACTTGTGAGATTTTCAAGAATCTTAACTTTAGTGTGATATTTGGCCTCTTATGCTAGTATACACTGATAGTTACAATACTTTTCAGTGTTTTAAATTCTGCTTTTTTATTAACAACTTGATGTTTATAGTACTGCCTGGAATAGAATTCCATTAATAGAAGGCTTGGACAGGGGCCCTGAGCGCCTGGCCTGAGAGAACCAGGAAACAGGCCCCGCGAGCGTACACGGCCTGCTCAGAATGAGTTTGTGGCAGGGCCAGGAAGGGGCCTTGAGCTTGAACTCCGAGTCTTTGAAAAACATTATCTACTTTGACATCAGTCCCAGAGAGAGAGCCAGCTGCTCCCACCACACTGGAAATCTGGAAATCATTTTTATTTAAAGCAAAAATAGCGCTAACTTTGATTATGACCTAGAACAGGTGGAAAAAGGGCAAACAAACATTTAAACATATACATTCAAGTGAATTATGTGTTTTTTGCTTGTGATTAGAAAGAGAATCATGGGCTAATATCACATATGTCAAGAGCCAGATAAAACCTTTATAAATGAGGTGAAATAATGGATCCCATGCACCTTTGGGTACACAGCCATTTTGGTCAAACAGGATACATGCAATAAATGGGGAAGGGGGATATACAATGATATGAACTACCGCTGGAATCATTACTCAGTTGGTAGGTGTCTTCCTTTTTTGCGGATGGTTGTGTTGTGTTTCATTAAAATGTACATGGGAATTCCTGGATGGAAGTGATGTGCCCGCTGAGGCAGATGGGTGTCGGCGGGACCTGCAGGCCTTCAGACTGTGGTTGGGCGCAAGGCTGGCCCGACGCCCAGTGCTGCCTTAGCCTCAGGAGGTGTGGTACCGAGCAGCTGCTCTGCCTGAGCAGGAAGGGGTGCTGCTGAGCGGGCTCCCTGCGTGGCTCTTGGCTGCTGCCCAGAGTGTTGGAGTACTGTGGTGTCAGAGGCTCAAAGTCCAGCCTTAAGTCTACCCCCGAATAGCTGTGACATCTTGGACAAGTCCCCATCTTCCTGTAGGCATCTCTCATCCATAAAATAAGGGAGTGGGCTGAAGAAAATGATCTCTCAGGCCCTTTCTAGTTTTGACAGTCTATGATTCTATGTACGAAAGCCTATATTCCACTGAGTAATACAGTCGCTATTTAGTGCTGACTTGTCTGGTAGGGTCATATTAAAGTCAGATGACTCCAGATTGCTGTGGTCACACCCAGAGTGCAGAACTGATTTTTTTATTGTATCATAAAGGTGGGAGCGGCTGTAAGCCGTCTGTCCCCATTTGCTCCTGCAGCTCTGTTGACGGTGTAGCTTCCACAGCGGGCTGGGTTTACTTAAAGCGCTGGGCACACAGGCATCTTGATAATGGGCAGTTCTTGTGGATTCCTGATCAAGGAGTTTTTTCGGTTGTTGTTATTGCATTATAGCCTAGTTTGAGGTCTCTAGTTCAGTCATTAATGTTAAATATGAAAATTATACAGAAAGCAAGTATGTAGAGACTTTGCTTTATACTCTGCCTTTGGATTTGCTTGTCAAAATACCTAAGTCTTAAATAGAAATGGTATAGTCTCCATAGGATAAATGAACATTTAAAAAGTTTTACACCCTTTAGAACGTTACTTAGAATGCACAACATGGACGTTGTTGATTTAGAGCTCGTAAGACAGTTCCCAACATGGTCCCCTTTTATGTCATATCATGTCATAGAATGTGAACTAGATGCGTTTATGGATTTGTACAGTCTGAAGGATTCGTTTTTGAAGGGAGGCCAAAAATGTTCGGTTGGCAACTTGAACTACTTTATCTTTTCTTAGAAAACCTCTCAGTCCCAGGAAAAATTTCTCTTAGAAATGTAATTTTGCAATTTCCCTGTAGTCCTGGTAGGACACCCACACAACCATTGTCCATTTTTGGTAAGTACATTTGCTATTAACAGAGCCACAGGCTTTAAACTTTTTTCAGTCTGTTTCAGTGCCACAGACATTTAATTGATCAATGGCCTGAAATTTGAAAGAAACAGGAGCAGCTCAGGTGATGTATCAGTTTAGCGCAACTGCCGAGCCCTTTGGGTGTAAGTGTGTTTCCAAGACTGAGCCATTTAAAATGCGGTTGTTAAGCCTACGGTAGTTTTTGAGGGGAGTGATTTAATTTTTCCAGCCTTGAACTGGTTTTTTGATGTTCAGAATCATAATCTCTCTAATTTCCTTGAAGTGAGACATGCCTTTATTTTTGGTGAATTAAAGAAACTGAAGGCCAGATGAACAACATGGGTGCATATTTTCCTCCCTTATTGTTTGCTTTCAGGTTGAGTAATGTCTGCATTATTAGGAGCACTCAGCACGTGAAGGTCCCATTCATGGTTCAGTAGAGATACCAAAGGGAAAAGGCTGTGCAATTTAACATTAGAGGGTAAAAAAAGAAAACATATGACCAGGAAAGCCATATGATATATAGGAGAAAGAGACTGTTGGACCTCCCAGAAAGGAGAGATGTAAGCTGTCTTGTGAGGATGCTATGATTATTGTACCCCTTGTACAATAAGAAAATTGAGAATTAGAATGCTTAATCTTACAGTGACATAGCTACTAAGTGGCAAAATCAGGACTTTTCATGACTAGTCTGAATTGCTGGCTTGGCATTTATATGTTGATAATTTTAGGATTCCATTTTTCACCTTTTTCCTGCTTCCTCTGTCTCTCTCTGCCTAATGCCTTCCATCCCCATGGTTTCTAGAACTATCTCTAGCTGGTGACTTATGGTTTCTGTGTTTTTAACCTCCACTTCTTTTTAAAATTCTATAACCATACTCCCACCCAACAGCTGGAAATTCCATAAGCTTGACTGACCCAAATTGCCCAAATCCTAATGTGTTAATTTTTCTTTAAAATCATTCCTCATTCTCAGGAAACTACCAAAATTATAATAAAAAAATAATAACCTGGAGTCAATCTTGACTCCTTTCTCTCCTTTATCATCTATCTGTAGTGGGTTCTGGGGCCCTGTTGACCCTTCTGTACTCTTTCTTGAAACTGCCCATATTTGCATTCATTTATTCATTCATATCCATTCTATCTGTATGCCTGCCTATCTATCTATCTATCTATCTATCTATCTATCTATCTATCTATCTATCTATCTATCTATCTATCTAATCTAGCTGCCTGCTTTGGGCCTGAAAACTTCCTGCCTGGGAATGTCTTGCCTAGGTTTAGTGCAGGAGGCACCAAAGATTCTGCCTCAGCCTTTCTTCAACTTCAGTTCATTCTTCACCCTGCAATTAGAGTAATATTTATAAATGAAAGTCCAGTGAACACTTTCTTACTTGCAGCCCCACATAGCTGTCCTACCTACAGCATAGAGTCTGAGCTAGCAAGTGGCTTAGTTTCTCATAGTCTAACATCACCCACCTTTCTGATTATATGTCTTATTTTGCTTCCCACATGAATGGTAATCTGTAGACACAGGAAACTTTATTTCCCATCATGGCCAAGCTCTTTTATTCCTCTTTTCCTTTGTACATGCTGTTCCCTGCACCTGGAATGTCTTTTCCTCATTAACTGAAGGTGAATTCCTATTCTGTCAAGAGGTCGCTCTGCTGTCAAAGCCTCCAGCGAGCTCCTTCCTTCTCCAGGAGGGCTTCCTTTCCTGCACCCAGCACCCTGCAGTGCTCCCTTTGTGTTCTTGCAGAACACTGTGCTTGTGTGAAGCAGCTCTCTCAGGACCTGGTAATGATTTAGTTAGACCTCTGGCTGTCCCTCAAAGCTCACTAATTGAGGATCCCAGAGTTTGGCACAACGTAGACATTTATCAAATGATCGCATTTGGAACTTGTATTAGTTTTCTATTGTCACTGTAACAAAGTCCCACTAACCTAGTGGTTTAAGCAACAAAAATGTATTATCTTACAGTTGTGGAGGTCAGAAGTCTGAAATGAGTCTTACAGGGTGTTAGGGGTTGAATTGCAGATCGTCTTCTTTTCCCTGAGTCCTTGTTAGCTCATCTGTGAAGTGAGGATAATAATGCTCACCTGTCACCCGTCAGGGTGCGTGTGTCTGTGTGTGGTATGTATTAAATAATAAAATGTATAGCACAGCATTTATTAGTTGGCCTTCAGCAAGAATTAGCTTCCTTTTTTTTCTTCTTACAGTGCAGTGGTTTTCAAAAGTTGGCACCTCCTAGACCTGTGCTGTCCAATTTGGTAGCTGCTAGTCACCTGAAGTGAGGCTAATTCAAATTTACTTGTGCTGTAGGTATTAAATACTGGATTTTGAAGATGTTATAAAGATTGTAAAGTACCTCATTAATATTTTAGAGATAACATGCTGAATTAATAATATTTGTGCCCCACTGAATTAAATAAAATACATCATAAACTTAATTTCACTTGTTTCTCTTTACATTTTTATAGTGTGGCTGCTAAGAATTTAAAATTACATATGTAGATCACATTATATTTCTATTGAACAGCATTGCTTTCCTGGCCATTGATTCCTGGTATCTACCAGTCTGTAACAGTTTTAGTTATCTGCCACTCTGCAATAAACAACCCCAGAACTTAGTCACCTTACACCACCACCACTTTTATTTTTTGAAATTACCAGAATTGGCAGGATCTCACGTGCAAGGTTCCTCAACTGCCCTCACTTGGGGCGTCACCCGTGTGTGCAGTCAGATGGCTGCCGGGCTGGCTCTGGCCTGATGCCTGCCACCAGGGTGCTCCTCCTGTGTCCTCCGCTCCCCCAGAGCCCTGTGCTGGCCTCACTGCATCCAGGAACCCTGGACTTCCCAAACGGCAGCTCGAAGCGGCCAGGCCTTACTCCCTCCTGGCTTGGAAGTCACAGCATGCCGCTTCCTTGGCACTCCGTGGGTGTAAGCAGTCACGGGACCCATCCTGACCAGGGGAGAGTGACAGTAGGGGGTGCCAGGCACTGACAGGGAAGGGCAGAATTGTTTGGGGATGCGTTGGGGACTAGCTGTCACACTCACCTCACCCAGGGAGATCATCTTTTGGCTTCTGTAAGGTGGGGCTTAAGGATCTGCATATCTTACAAGCATCCCCAGTGGCTACACTTGGAAGGACTCTAGGGGGCTTTTTTAAGAGCACAGAGACCTTTTGTCAGTGTTGCCTCTAATGGTTAATTCCAAAAGAAATTTAGGAAGATGCAAAAGGAATATATTTTTTTAATGGATTTTAACCATCCATTGTTGCCTCCATGATCATGTATAATTAAAGAATGGGTACAAAGTCATCATTGCTTTTATTAATGTAAGCACGTATCAGCTGGGGGTGTGAGCCAGGGTCCAGGGCGTTAAGAAGTAGGCTGTGTGTGTGGCAGACTAAAAAGCATGTGAAATCACAGGAGAGAGCAAGAGGAGTCTGTGTGTATGTGTGCGCGCGTGTGCGTGTACACGTATATATGCACCTCTGCACGGGTGTCTGTGCCAGCATGCATGAGTCTGTGCATGTGTGAATCTGTGCCCTTGTGCTCAGACTGCAGGCTCTGGAGCTGCCGGCCTGCATGGTTCGAATCCCAGCTCTGCTACTTCTCCAGCTGTGTGACTTAAGGGAACTCCTTATGTATAAAATGTAAAATGGGGCACCACAAATTCATATGGTTCTTGTGAGGACTAAATAAGTCAACACCTATATAAAGCATTCAGACCGATGCCTGGGTGGCACACAGCAAGTGCTCAGCTGTGCTGTTTTAATTTCTACAGAGCTGTCAGGGTTTAGTTTTGTACCTCAGTACACCCCCCTTTCCCTCTCCCTCTACTTTTACCTCTACCTCTACCTCTTTCTCTCTCTCCAGGGAAGTGAAAAAAAGAACTGATGAGGATGACAGCAAATCTATCACAAACCTGACTGGAAGCAGTTCCAAACAGTCAAGCCATATGAAGAATTGTTGCAAGGGTTGAACCCAAAACACCGTGGCCTAAGAAGTCTTCGTTTCCGGAGTACAGAACTTGTGGGACTTGCTTGTGCAGCCTACAGACACTCTCATACGAACTGTGTTCTTCAGTCCCACCGCAACCTTGGCTCTTCTTTGCTGCGTTTCCATGAATAGTTTGGGCTCCCTGGTTAAATATGCTTGTCCTTACAGAGTCTTAAAGATAAGGTGTAAATGTTTCTAAGTGCTAAAAAATCACATGCTCAGATCAAGGCTGTAGAAGACACTCTTGGATGTAATTAGATTCATGTGGTAGCTGATGTAACCTATGACCACATTTCCTATAAACAGTTAATACTCGAGTACTAGTAAAAAGGGGTTATCATCCTAGCTTTGCTGTTACCTAGGCTTGTGGTCTTGGACATGTCCTTGTAGGCGTTGGCCCTGGCCCTGGCCCTCACTCACATTCTGTAGTACATTTTTTTTTTGGCAGTGGGAAGGAGAGTGTAACAGCTTATGATTAATAAGGACTCTGGTTGTTTGTACTTTTAAAATGTTGGAGTATTGACTTTTCTCACTTCAGAAACAAGAACAGAATTTAACTGAGAAAAGTGGTAATTTTCAGGCTTCAGTGGAGACAGAAAAATCTATTTTTCTATGCATGGAGAAGAAAACATTTTTGTGACAAAAATAGTTTTATATAAAAGAAGGTATTTTATAGTCTCAGAATACTTACAAATCCGTGCTTTAAATTCAGTGTTAAAAATTCTAATAAAAACATATAAAGCCACATACTATTGAAAGTACAAAGCCCGGGAAAGGTGTGACTCTTCACTTAAAAAAATACACCCACGAGTGGTTTCCAAGGGCTGGGGAAAGGGAGGAACTGAGAGTGAGTGACTGCTAATGGGTATGTGACATCCTTTGGCGATGATGAGAATGTTCTGGAATTGTGAAATTAATGGTTGCACAACTTTGTGAATACACTAAAAGCCACTGAAGTGTATACTTTAAAAGGGTGAATTTTATGATATGTGAATTATATCATTAAAAAATACATTAGTCCTTAGAACTATTTAACATTTTGCCAAGTGAAAATATGTATGCATGATTATGTCAAACCTTCCAAGGGTTTAAATACGTATCTCCAATATAATGCAAGTCCCTGTACTCCCTACCTGCCAGCATTCGCTTCCTTAAATAATGAACAATGAAAGAAGTGCTATGCATGGTTTTTGGAACATCATCTCTTTGAAAGAGGAGGTGTGGTTAGGAAAGGAATCGGAGCCCTTTGATTAATGGGACTAGTGACTCATCTTCACCAAGGACCTGGTTAGTCTTGTTCTCCTTCTAGACCGTGCAATAGCTCCCACATGTCCCCATTGAAATGTCTCTAAGAGCCAAAGGGGTCAATACCTGACCCTGGGGTGGGTCAGCAATGCCTGGTTTTTGGTTTTTGGTTTTCAGTGGCCTGAACCAATGAAGTTATTCCCAACCAGAAATCCGAACTTACATTGGTTCATGTAGCTCAAGGCCCCAAGTTTTTTGCTTAAAAAACTGAAATAATAGCTTTTTTATATATAAGCTAAAAACATTCCTTTTTATTGAATTACAATTTATTGTAGCAATTCTCCTGTTTATGATTTTTATGATCAAACCTTAAATTCCCCAAGCTTCATTTTTATTCTAATGGAAGTTGACAAGGTACATCACACACATAGCTTATGAGCAGCCACTCCATCATTTAGCTTTTGAAAGCTTGCTTTCTCTCTATTGATGGCATCTAGTTTTTGTCCTGGAAAGTTGGATCTATCCATTGCAACTCCAGTATGGATTCCTGTTTCCACTTTCATGGTTTTTGGTCCCAGAAAAAAAAAAATTGTTTTTGACCAAAAAGAAAGCCTTGCTCGTGGGGAACTGTCAAACTGAGCGGCAGAGGGAGTAGTAGTTATTTTGGGGATGTAGTGAGATGGAAGTTCTGTCACCGCTGCCTGCCTAGGTGACGTCTGTGGAACCCAGTTAGAATGGACCTGACATGCGTGTCATATGGGACTCGGGTTTGGGTGTTTGGTGCAGTTGCACAAAACTGTTGTGAGGACATGTTCTCATGTCGCCTTTCTTTTCCACCAAAGTGTGTCTCTATATTAGTATTACCACCTGTGCCTATGAGTATACCTTTGATGCAGAAATATTATCTCTGCCAGCACCCCCACATTGATTAGATTACATAGGCACCTTTGATAGACAAAGCAGTCATCTTTAACTGCTCAAACATGGATAAATATTTTGGCAACAAAATCCAAATTAGAGCCTTATAGCTCTGGATAGCAATCTTGTTTGAAGAAAAGCTCTTTCAGCCACATTGCTATCAAATTGTGATTATTGCCAACATTTGATTTCATGAAGGTGTTCTCAAATTTTAAAGTATACTTTCATTAAGAACAAAAATACAGTCATATATTGCTTAAGGAGTGGGATGCATTCTGAGAAGTGCTTTGTTAGGCAGTTTTGTCGTGCGAACATCATAGAGGCACTTACACAAGCTTAGATGGTGTAGCCCACTACACACCCAGGCCATATGGCATAGCCTATTGTTCTGAGACTACAAACCTGTACAACATGTTATTGTACTGAGTACTGTAGGCAGTTGTAACACTGGGGGAAGTATCTGTGTATCTAAACAGAAAAGGTACAGTAAAAATACAGCGTGAAAGATAAAGTATGTGCGCCTGTGTACCTGAGTTGGGAGAGTGGCTGGGGGAAGGCTGTGAGGGAGGTGCTGTCCGAGGGAGAATAGACTTCAGGAGGAGGGAGGGAAGAAGGCAGAGAGGGAAGAAAGACAAAGGGAGAAAGAGGGAAAGTGGAGATGAAAGAGGCCTGGAGAGAGAAAGCTTGAGAGGAGATAAAAGGGAGAGGGGGAGGGAGGGGGAGAGAGAGAGAGAGGCCAGGGGGCCCAGACTGCTAGACGGGGAGGGAAGAGAGAGAAGCAGAGGAGGGACGCTGAGTTTGTGCACAGGAGCGTGCGTGTGTGCACGGGCGGGTGGACAGCACGCTGAGCCTCCCCATCGATTTAAACCACTCAGAGCGGAACATTCAGCATCTAAGTCGGTCGAGCCTTTTCTTTCAGCATTGTGAACAAACTTTTTGCTTGTAATCCATTATAATCTTATGGGACCACCGTCGAATTTTTGGTCTGTTCTTACATGTGGCACAAGACTGTACTTCATGTTTTTAACTTAGATTAATTTGATATATTTGCATAGTTCAATGTAAGTAACTCGTCTGAATTTTGCCTCTGAGAGCTTTTAGAATCACAATTATGCTACGCTCCTTTTTTATGCATCCTGACACATTGGATAATATTTTAATTTCATCATAGAAAAGAACGTTGGATAAGGAGACTTTTTTACTGTTAACTTTTAGCCTTATGCATTTTCATAATTTATTTTTTTCCACTTGCTGCTTTGTATGACACATGTGACATTTGATTATTTAATACAAACTGTGATTTGCATAAACTCAAGTCACACAGCCGTCTTGCTGAAGATAAAATTGAGGTTAAAGATAAAGATTTATTTTCATATTTGTGCTGAGATCGGCTTCAGAGTGATCTTTTTTGGGGGGATTTATTGTATATGTGTATAAAAATTTTATATGTATATATGAAGTAGGCCTCTGTGTATTAAATAATTGTTATATGATTTTGATTTACATGGTTTACATTTTCATAGTATCAGCCATATTTCATTTATACTATTTATTTCTCTTCAAACCATTAATAATTATACCATAAAGTATAATTTGTATAGCCATGCAAATGTCCAAGGAACTACAAATATTTTATGTATTGTACACTAAATAAAGCAGGCTTCCTTTGGCCTTGGGGTGTTTCCTCCAACTGAAGGCATCCCCGAAGCGATTTTAATTCTAGGAGGTGCATACATGAAACTGGGTCTGTAAAACACTTGTGGCCTGGGCAGATGGCTGGTGGGAGAAAAGAATGAGCACATGGTGGCTGGTGCTATGGTACAGCCAGGTCATCTGGGCCTGTGTGGCAGCAGGTCCACCAGCTTGGGGTGTGACAGCCAGGAATAGCGAGGCTTTTGTAGAGAAATTTCAGGATGTGCCTTGGCCACCCCCATGACCTCAGAGGTTAATCTGTTTCCCTGACTCCTGTCTTTCTCCCTCTGCTCCCCTATGCTGCCTAGCTAACTCCTTCTCATTTTGCTTAAACATCTGTTCCTTTAGGAAGTTTCGCCCTCTGAACCCCCAAACTAGGATGAGGTTGCCTGTAGCACCCTTTTAACTGATTGGCATCCTTGTACTTACTCAAGTAGACACAACGCCCAGTCCTTAGCCCAGCTGGCTCCTTTCTGCTGTTCACAGGGCTCTTGAATGGGTGATCAAAGAATTAACTTTAAATAAGGCAGACTTTGCGGAGAGCTTCTGCACACACACACACAGTGGTCATAGCCATCTAAATATGAGGTAGCATGTAATAGTGGCCACAGGTCTGAGTTATGCAACCAAGCTGCCTAGGTTTGAACTGGGACTCACACCTACTATCTGGGTAACATAACTATAAACAAGGGACTTAACTTTTGTGTACCCAAGGTTCTTTGTAAAATAGGGATGATAACTACCTTTTTCTCATGGGGTGGTTGTGAGGACTAAATGAACTAATGCACATAAAGAGCTTGGAATAATACTTGGCACTTTGAGCACTCTCAATTAAAAAATAGTTTTGAAGCACTGTTGGTTTTATTGGTCTTGTTCAGCACCCTGGGTTCTGCCATCGATGAATAACAGAACTCCTGAAATCTACCACCACATAACCTGGGGCATGGGGCATTCTGGAGGATTCACTTGCACATAAGTTCATTGACTATTTCCCTAGCCTGGGACACTTTGATGGACGCAAAGTTAGGGGATCATAGAAGATAGGATGTTACGTAGGATGAATTAAAAGAGAAGGAAACTGTTGAGAGAAAAATGAGGGCCTGAAAGTGAAAATGGAAAGTCGTGACTGGAATTCATATAGTTGTAGGATCTCAGTTTATTAAGGGCTGATTGGAACGAGAGGTTCAAAGGATGAAGAAAATACCAGAACTCTGACTGGGATGTTGAGTCTAAATGACAGAAGTAGTGACGGGGTCATGGGGCTCTCTGATTAAACGGAAGCTAGCTTTATGTTTATTCTGTGACAAGTAGGCTGTTGGAAAGCAGCTCCAGGGGATATGTCCAGAAGTCCACAAGACAGGAATGAATCCTCAGGAGAGCATATTGTTTTCCAAGCTTTAAAATAAAAATAACACCTTTCCTTTCCAGATCCAGACATAATGTTTGTATAGCTGAAAATGCAAAACAGGCAAAAATGCTTCAGCTTGAAATTATGGGGTAAGATAAATTTTCAAATGCAATATTCTAAGAATAATTACCCAGTTTTCTTTATTTTTTTCTGCATTGGTGTATCAGGTTCACTTGTGAATTTGTATTTCTTAACTACTGATAGGCTGGGAATTTGGTTGTAAGGCCCTTGAACTTGTGACCTCTCAGGCTGGTGGTTTATGAGCCATGTTTAGCTCTTGCAGAGTTCCTCACTGTCCTCCTTAAGGCCTTGGCTTTCCGGAAAACTTTCCATCCAGGTTTTCTGGCACATCTTCCCACAGCTGTGCAGTGGGGTAGAACTTGAGAGCTGGGTGAGGATCCCTTCAAGGGAGAATCTTGTGAGTAGG